TGCCTGCTCGTACTGGACGCGCAGCCAGGCGCGCGAGTGGAGCAGCGTACGGCCGGCGGGAGCGTGCTGGTGCTGGCGGCCATCAGCTGCCGCGACATGGGCTCTCTGCTGGTGGCGCACCTCCCACGTCGCATTTGCTGCACTCTTCTGACTTGGAACCACTTGCTCACCGCGGACAGATCCCAACCAATTCCTCTCTAGGCCGCCATCAAAATGGGTAAGTCCTCCAACGCGCACGCCTGCTGCTTGGCCCCCTCCGTGACCACCTCACTCCTCAGCCTTCTTCACTCATTCACTCTCACCCGACACACCACCTTACTCCGTTGGATGTTCGCTCTTTGGCATCCATCAGTCACTCCCGCCCTCATCGCACATCAGCGTCGCACTCAGCCATCGACACAGCGCCGCCGTCAATACTGATTCGCATTCAGGTGACCGTGACCGCAACTACGTAAGTTGACCGCATCGTGCCCCATCGTATTGACCATGTAGCCTCCTGCGTTGTCCACCTGATGGTGGAAGCTGATGGGATTGCCGCCCGGACCTGGACTTTGATGGATTCGATCTGGGAACTGGGACGCGGCGGACTCGGATGGACGAGAGGAGAGAAGATGAGCATTGACCGGTGACAATCTCGAGCTGGACACAGAGCAGAGAAGAATGAAAGCTCGGCGGCAGAAGACGCGGCGTACACGCGGGAGTTATCGAGAGACGACACTCGATGCTGGACGGCAGGACACGGTATCATACGGCTTTGAGCGCAACCAAGGGCGCGGCGGGTCATGTATGATTCGATAACAGCAAGCTGCCACCAATAAATGTGCCAGGAGTCCTGCCTGCTCCTTTAATAGTTGTCCAAGAAGACATCTTTTAACATGAAGCAATATCATGCGTCCCGTGCGCCCTCGGCTGCTCGTGGTGTTCGACTGTACGCTTCTGCGAGGTCCACGCACAACACGAGTACGCTCTGATCATGACTTGTCAAATCAGACCATCGTCTTCAAGTGTGCACTCCCAGCAACACCGTCCTGTGAGGCATGTCGGCGGCGGAATTCTTGCTTGCGACTACTCACAGTGCATTGACCCTTTCAGGGTGCATATTGCTCGCAGTTCACCGGCGACCGATATTCCAGATTGCTGCGCTTCATCACAAGCAGTAGCGACATCGAAACACAAGGCGGAGGACCTCGACATCAGCGACAAGCCCAGAGCTTCCATTGGCGTTGCAACCATGGCCAGCTTCGCGAGAAGCTCCGTACAAAGACCAGCTTGCTCAGGATATTCTCAAGCGACAACACCACGCCAACGGGCATTCGGCACCGTCTTTGCGCATGTGCTCCGTCAAAGGACCTTGTCGTCGCCGTCAGACAACGTGTCGAGACAGACCTGGTCGTCGCCATCAGATGAATGGTGCGACAGCACTAAACCCAGATTCGACCCCAAACAAGAGCCGTCCGCGTTCAGTTGGGACTTTTACATCAAGAACTGTTTGCCGCATGCTTCTGAGCTTGCCTCTGCAACAAAGGCTCAAGACAACAACGCTGCAAGTTGACATGAGGTCTCACTGCTCATGGAGCTGTAGCGCAGTGTGCGTATAGGGTCCGCGCTGGACTTGCTTGGCCGACCACCTGATCTGGTGGCTATCGCTCACCAAGAAAGACATACAACGCCTTGGCGCTTTTCCGACCATGGACAAGGTATGACCCATGATCCGGATTTGGGGCATCGCTGTGGAGCTGGCTCCGACAGATGCATTTGGTCTTCTCCGGCGGCTCCGAGCCGGTGATGATTACACTTTGCTCGCACGAACGCATGCGCGGCAGTGCGTACTGGACTCCTGCAGGCACGACAGGCAGACATGCCAGCATCTTGATCACTCACAGCATGTCTGACCTGCCTCGGCCGCTTATCAGCCGCGACATACTGCTGTCACTGACGCTGGGCTTGTCATCACCGGTATTGCCTTGCATGTGTGCTCGCCTTCGCCGAACTGGCTTCGATTGGATGCGGACAGGCAAATTCATCACTTGCTTTGCTCCGCATGTAGAGCAGCGACGCGCATCGCTCCACTCCAAGCCTAAGTTGGTGCAATCTGCCGAAGGGTCACGCTGCAACCAAATTATGACCGGCTTCCTCGGAGACAAAAGGACACACCGTCAGCTTCCTCCGAGCAAGTACGACCCTACATGGACCAAGCAAGATAAGATCAAGCAGTCATGCCATCACCTGGTCCATTTCCTGGTTGCACAGACTATCTCCTCCTTGGAGAGCTAGCTCAGTGAAGCCAGGCGTGCAAAATTCGTTCTTCGGCCCAGCCAACAGACTTCAATGTCTAACCAGCGATGTTGTTCAGCACACGTTACACGCCGTTGAATTGTCGTCAGGTTCTGGAATCAGTCTTGGGGTTGCTCAGCTTCTTCGACCAAAATCCATCTCGAAAAGCCTTGGCGCGATCGTGCGTTCAGGCAGCTCTTCGGTGTCGACTGGTGTTGCGGGCCACGCACTGGGCTTTTGTCGAAGTCAAGCCACGAAAGCACTATCGGAGAGTTTTGCTCGCTGTTCATGAGTGTTGCACTTTGCTGGCGTTGCCCTCTGTATGTCAAAGCAGATTGCACCCATTTCAAGCAGAGGATGGAGGTCGCTGTCCAAGTCAAGGCTGTTCGTATTGCAAAGTCCTCGTCTGATCGGACGTCGATCTCCAGCACACGAGGCAGTTTCTTTGCTTCGACGACGTTCCTATAACACCGGACGGTGCCTGCTGTCGGCTGGGATACGCCATGGACACAAAAGGCCAATCTTTCTTCGTATCTGTCGCCATCTAGACCTTGGCCGTAGGAGCAGGAAAGGGCTCGTTCAGCTTTCGACAGCCCTTTACAGCTGGCCTTTCATCCGTTCATGCCCGGGCTAGCTCCTGCGGTCGAGCATCGTCGGGATGACTGAACGCCCGCCGACCGAGTACTCGTGACGGTATCCAAGCTCATGTCTGCTCGCTATGTCCTTCGTCTTGCTCGCCGCTTGAGGGATTGCCTCCAATGCTCGACTTCGTCACGCTCAGTCTCGATCTGACTGAATACTGCTGCCATCTTCCGCCACTGCCGGCTGGGTCTGTGTGGGGTGCATTCGAGCGCACGAGAGCATTCTGTTTCTGCCGCTCTTAGGACCGCTCTTCGAAGGTTCTTCCTCGCCTCTGGCGCTTCTTGTTGGCACGAGAGCTTCCTTGCGAATGGGAGCGCCATCGAACCCAGTGTTTCTCCTGCAAATTGGACAACACTGCTTTTGACCACCGCCGCCCCGGCTCGCATCGGGAGTATTTGATTGTGCGAGAGTGTCCGATCCCTATTGCTTCTGCGCCGCCCTCCGAAACCACTTCTCGCCCTGCGCACATCTTGTTGGCGCGCAGGCTCTCACGCGGCTGCGAGCGCCATTGCTTCCAAGATGTTGCCAATATATTAGACGACACTTCCTCCTGCCGGCGCAAGTATCGTTTGCCCGCGTTGAATGCGAAGGTGCGAGCGTGTTCGGTCCATGTTGCTCCGGGATCAGCTTCCCAACTCGGCTTCGTCTTTGGCGCTCCACGTCGGCGTGACTGGCTCTTATTCGGATGAGAGCATCGTTGGTCTGAATGCGTCTCCAATCGCCTTCACACAGCTGTCTTTGATGGCCGCCGAGATTGGTGCGCGTGAGATGACCGCGGGCGTTCGAGCGTGTTCGATCACTGCTGCTTCCGCACCACCCTGCCGCCGTGTTTCCCGCCTTGACGCTGCTTGTCGGCGCGGAGGATTGCCATTCGGGGGAGAGTGCCATTGCTCTGAATGTGTTTCGAAATCGCACTGGCGGCCCTCGGGGCAGAACATTAGTATCCAAGGCAATGTGTCGCCCGAGCCTCAACACTTCTCTGGTGCTCCTCGACGAGAGCTTTGTCAACGGGAAGACGGTCGTCGCGTCTCTGTTCACATGTCTCGGCCCACCTCCTGCCTGTCTGGACACCCGCGACCACGGTGGTTGTGGTTGTCGCTGGAGAGAACGGGCTCAGGGCCACATGTCTCCGCTGGTCGCGCCAGGCCACTGTCGTCGTGATCGATAGTATGGTTGGCCGGCAATGTCTGGAGACAATGGAGTCAGCAGAGCGCCGAGAGCCGTGTCTCTGCATTCTCGTGATCCACAGTGTTTCCCTGCCTGGTGTTCCTAGGATGGGCCTTTGGCTACGAGCGACAGAGGCAGTGGTCTGTGATCTCTTGGCACCTGCCTGAAGTGGCTCAAATTCTCAGCTTGCCCGCTCGCTCACTCTGTCTCCAACACAACAACAATGGCCACCAATCTCGCTTTCGGTGACGAGCCGCTCCTCAACGAGGAGGCGGGCCCCCTTCTATCTCCGGCTACGACTCCAGGCGCGGCCGAACAGGCCCAGTCGGTCAGGCTCCCCATCAGGAAGAACGCAGGAGCGACTGTTTACTGGAAGCATGTGAAAACGTGGAAACTAACTTGTGATATTATAGTCTCGAAGCCGTTCGCCGCAGGACTACAACCGCCGCGACAACCGCCGCTACGAAGGCCGTAGCCGCTCCCCTGACGAAGAGCGTCACAACAACCGCCGCGAGAGACGCGAGCGCTCACCACGACCGAGCAACGGTCACTACAGCGAAGAGCGCTCCAGCCGCCCACCACCTCGCTCGCAGGAAGAACGCCAACAGGCAAAAGGCGAGATGCTGAAGCAGGTGACCGACTCCTCGCAGCAGGACCGTAGGGTCTACGTGGGCAATCTGGCCTACGACGTCAAGTGGCACCATCTCAAGGACCACATGCGCAAGGACGGCACGCTCGATGTCATCTTCGCAGACGTTCTCCTTCTCCCGAACGGCATGAGCAAGGGTTGCGGGTATGGCCTCTTCCGCCCTCACTGAATGCTCTACAAACAACTGACAACTTCCAGAATTGTCGAGTACCAGACACGCGACCAAGCACGCACCGCTATCGAGACTCTTAGCAACACTCCGTTGATGGGGCGCCTCATCTACGTCCGCGAAGTATGCAACCCCGAATTCACAAGCTCGTGGAGTGACTGACATATCACAGGACCGGGAGACCGAGCCACGCTTCGCAGCACCACAGCGCGGCGGCCACGACGGCGGATTTCACGGTGGCCGTGGTGGATTTGGCGGCCGCGGAGGCTTCCAGGGCGGTATGGGCGGCGGCTACGGCGGCGGCATGCAGCAACAAGGTGGCCGCAGCCAGATCTTCGTCTCTAACGTAAGTGACACACGACTATATATGTGAGAACCCAACTGACATTACACCAGCTCCCATTCCAAGTCGGCTGGCAGGACCTCAAGGACCTCTTCCGCCAGGCCGGCAACGTCATCCGCGCCGATGTCCACATGGCACACGATGGCAGCCCCAAGGGATCTGGTGTTGTCGCATTCGAGACTCCAGAAGATGCCCAGAACGCTATTCAGACTTTCCACGGCTACGACTGGCAAGGCCGCGTGCTCGAAGTCCGCGAAGATCGCTTCGCCAATTCAGGCCCGGGCGGTTTCGGTGGCCGCGGTGGCTTCCGTGGTGGCTTCGGCGGCGGTTTTGGTGGTCGCGGTGGTGGTTTCCGCGGAGGCTTCGGTGGCGGAGGATACGGACGTGGTGGATATGGAGGTGGCGGTGGATACGGCGGCTACCAGGGCGGTGGAGGCTACCAGGGTGGAGGTGGCGGCTACGGTCAAGGCGGCGGCTACAATGCTGGCGCTGCGGCTGCTCCAGTCGTCCCACCAAACCCCTTTACCGACGGTGTGACTGCTGGCGGCGAGCAGGGTGGCTCGATCATCTACGTCAAGAACGTAAGTGGAGACCGGAATCTTGCAACACTGAACAACGCTAACATCCTAACAGCTACCATGGAGCACCAGCAACGAGGACTTGGTTGAGCTCTTTGTCACTATCGGAGCCGTCGATCGCGCCGAGATTCAGTACGAGCCAAACGGACGCTCTCGTGGTACCGGTGTCGTTCAGTTCACCAGCGCTGGCGACGCTGCCACCGCCATCGAGAAGTTCCAGGGCTACAACTACGGCGGTCGTCCACTTGGCCTCGACTACGCTAAGTACCCCGACGGAGGCGCCATGGAAGGCCAGGAGACCACCGGCGACCTGCAGGCACAGATGATGTAAGGATCTAACGATTCGACATCACGACCGGCACTACACATTACATTGCGGCTGCTCTCGAGTACAGCTAAAGCTGGAACGGCCACCTGGCTCTAGTACGGCAATGGCTTGTATCTTGTAACATGCAGCGAGCCCTTGCATCAGACGACCAGCGTGTCGCAAACACTTTCACCCTTTGAACCCCTCTGTATATTAGCTTCGATGACTTCGACTCTTGGGAAGGAGGAAACGAGCCTTGGGCAAAGGTACAGAACACAGTAACGACTCAGCAACATGGGAATGGGCGAGAGAGTGTTTTCATTGACAAAGACCGGTTCTACTGGATCGTTCCTTCTTGCTAGCCTGGGTAGGCCATCGCTTGAGAGGCTGATTAGGTAGCGGAATATCTGAAGGACTGGTCAGAGAAAAGTGGTTCTTTGTGACAGGGTGATTTTCGTGGGCGAGGTCGCTGGCGTTTTGGTGAGCTGATGGTTAATAGGAAACTTTGGGCATTGCCAAGGTTAGTGTGCGAGGTGAAGATGAGGACGAGAACTGACTTTATCGTCTAGGAGCTCGGAAATACAGCCAGCGGAGCGATAGGCCTTGCGGCCGTATTCCTTCTGCGTTGTAAGCAACAGCATGGGACGCGAATCAAAAACCAGAGCTTGTTCCGGCGCGGGAGAGAAGGATTCGCTTACTTCAAACCTGATCCGAGGAATTCACTGACTCACAGTGAAGCGCTGCTATCCGTATACTGGTATGCACGATGACCAGGCAAGCAGCAAGAGACAAGCTATAAAGCTGGAAATGTGCCGACCCTCGCTGTGCCCATCAAGAGTACCTCGAAATTTCTCATCCACAATGACTTCCACCACCACGATGGCATATGATATCCACGTTGTCAGAAAGGCCAAAATCAGCGAGCATTCCACTATCTCAATCTCATCTTCCTTACCTCCACTCCCAGAAAACAAGATCCGAGCCATACCACGAATCGTCTCTCTCACCGCGAACAACTTATCTTACGCCAAAGGCGGGCATATCATGCACTGGTGGGACGCTTTTCCCCTTCCCAGCCATCTACCTTCACCTCACAATGACGCAACACAGTACGGGATCGTACCAGTCTGGGGCTACGCAGAAATCCTCGAAAGCAAGATCGCAGATGTGGTTCAAGGAAGCATGATCTGGGGTCTTTGGCCTTCATATAATATACCAGTGGATCTTGAACTTCAGACTGCTTTTGAGTTGAAAGGCCATTATCTCGATGTTAGTCGACATAGAGACAAGCTGTGGAAGTTCTATAATCACTACGTCGTCGCGTCGGACAAAATTAGGTATCGAGATCTTGACCAGAAGACTTTGGAACGAATGGCTTGGGAGGCGAATGTTCTACCTGCCGCTGGATGGATGTTGAGTCGGTTTGTTTTTGGGTCGTCGGCGCCTGTCGTACATCCTAGTGGTTTATTGGAAGGGTGGAGTGAGGAAGATGCTGATTTGTCCAAAGCGGTGGTGGTGAGTTTGAGTGCTAGTGGAAGGACTGCGAGGGCTTTTGCGCATGCTTTGGCAAGAGAGAGGAGGGAGGACGCTTCTGGACCTCTTGGATTTCTGGCTGTGTCTTCATCCACAGATGGGAGCTTTATACCGGAAATCGCCACATTTCCAACGCAAGTTATACAGTATGCAGACTTGCAATCGTCACATGTAGGAGACTGGATCGCGAATTTGGCGCCGGACAAAATCGTGGTACTGGACTTCGGAGGGCGAGGAGATTCGCTGGAACAGCTACAGCACACATTACAAGAGTGCCTTCCCGGGACCAAGGTCACCATAATCGGAATCGGAGGAGAAGCAAAAGCACAATCACCTGAAGAGATCGCAGACGTGATGCAGAGACGTGCGAAACTGACGAATCGAATGCAAATGAATACTGCGAGGATTCAAGAGACTGCCATCGCGAAGCTAGGCGCGGAAAAGTTCTTTGCGGAGAAAGATGAGGCTTGCAAGGTCTTTCTGGAGCATGGTGGGCTGAAGGGACTGAAGTTACAGTGGGGTAAAAGGTGTGAAAGGAGACAATGGGATTGAAGGAGGCTGGCGGATGTTGTGTGCGGGAAAGGCTGGGAGTGTGGGATTGGTGTACAGGCTTTGATGAGAGGTGTGTTGTTTGCCTCTCTGGAAATCCGGAGCTTCGAAATTCACTCGTCCGAGCCCTCGCCGCCTTCGTCTACACGGGAATGGCAGAAAACGGGTCCCGGAGTCGGAAAAAATCGACCAAACAGCAAGGATTTATTCGAAATCACGACACTTTCTATGGTGCCGAGGCTCCTTTTTTGGACATTCTGGCCAGCGATGTTGGTGGAAACAATCGATCGAGGACTAGCCAGCCTCGCTAGGCTACGGACTAGCCTAGATGTGGGCCTCGCCTGGAAATCGAGTTCAGGAATGTTTCTTACGATCTCGTCCCGGATCTGTGCGGCCACATTCTAGAAGGGCATCGTTTCTGCACACATCGTGCGATCAAGATTCCCATCCTTGAGGCCGGAGGTTGCGGCGCCTGTCGAGCTATGGCAGATGAGTATTGACGAAGTGCGTGCGATCTCTCCGATGCTGCTTGATCCCTGCTATTGACGAATACCATTTGTTCAACGAATTTATTATTAGCTGTAGGAGCGGCTCGAAGATCAATAATCAACAAGAACATACTATACTTTCGTATTGCTGCAATATGCATGGAAGTCCGTCGCGTAAGTCCGGACTCATGTGACACGGTCAGCGCGGCCGCTCGCTTTGCGGAGGTGCGCACTTGTGCAACCATGTAAGCGAAGAGCATCGTAGCTCTGTTGCGGAATCTATAGAGTCTGATCGAGCAATGCAATGTTTTCGGGATAGCAGCGTCGAATGCTCGTGTAGCTCGATCTTGATTGTCCATATGCGCTCTTGAGACGGTGTTGGTGACCTGTCCGCGGTCCAGAGGTTGAACCGGTATATACTGTCAGCATCTGTATTGTATCCGGCCTCATACAGAAGAGTGTCGCGTAGACCTGGGGCCAGGCTGAACAAGTCTTGATGGTTTCGTACAAGAGTGTCCAGGAGCAGGTTTCTGGAAACCATGCGTGAGTCGTCTTAGCAGAAGCTAGGCAAAGGTTAGTAAGAATAGTCC